AAGAGGAATTTTATAGTCCCACGTTGGGGTAGAGGAAAGTGCTTGCAGAGCAGGGGTCTTCCTCGCAGGCTCACGTGGCCCCAGCAGACACAGCTTCCCAGCTCAACCCTCCACAGAGCGCTGGCAGCACAGGCAGAAACTGCCCCGCAGAGCAGGCCAGCTCTTGCAGGCCCTGCAGAGCCACTCTCGCAGCTGCGGCCATCAGCAGGATGGAGCTCTCTGGACAGCTTCGAGGACACAGAAGCTCTGAAGCGCCAGGCTCGAGACGCTGGGGCTGCTGTCATTCCTCATACCCTCAAGGGCTGCAACAGGGAGCAACAGAGCCAAGGTCAGAGCCTGGATCTGTGGTCACCCAAGAAGCCACTCCAGCCAGGGCCATCTCACCCACTTTTTGCCGTGGCCAAAAGGGAGCAGGGCCCACCGGGATCAGCCAGAAGGCGCTGGCCACCAATCCCCCCCGTGCCCCTGAAATCTCTCCCTGCTCTGCCCAAGCCGTTCCTCATGCGTGCAGGGAGCAGAGCCCTCCACAGCCGGGGCAGGATTGCAGCTCCCTGCCCAGGCTCTGTGCTCCTCCACCAGCCCCCGCTGAGACCACGCTGCCCTCACTCACTGTCCATGATGTCCTGCAGCTCTTCAGGCTGTCCCTGCATATACCTCCCGGCCATCCCTGGGAAGACAGATGCTGTCACGGCCCAGCGGCACAGCTCCCCCCCAGCGGCGCTGCCGGTCCGGCCACACGCCCTCCTGCCCCGGCAGGGCTGAGCCCGGGGCCTTCCGGCCTCGGGACGCCCCAGGGCTGGGCTGGCACAGGGCGGCGGCAGCAGCCGGGGCACTCGGGGCTCCCCAGCACGTCCCTGGGCCGCATCCTGCTGCCGCTGCAGCAGCCGGGGCTGGGGCCGAGCTGCGGCGGGGCGGGGAGGGACCTTGTGGCTCACCTGTGAACCTGACGGCCGCCTCTCGCAGGGGCTCCTGTGGGCTCTCCAGGTATGGAAGGGCCTGGCGCAGGTACTCGGCCACTCGGCTCCGCTCCTTTTCCAGCTGCAGAGAGCGGCAGGGCACGGAGGGAAGGGTTGGCTGGGGCTCTACCCTTAGGCCGGGCGCTGCCTGCGCCCAGCACTGGCCTCCCCCGCCCGCACGCCCCAGGCAAGGCAGCAGCGTGTGGGGCGCAGGCTGCTGTTCAGCAGGCGGCTGCAGCAGTGGGCAGGGGCACAGGGCCAGCCCCACACTCCGGGCATCGGGGGCTGGGGGCTGGTCCAGCCTGGGGCTGGGGCTTCATGGTCGTCCTTACCAGGCACTCGCTGAACCTCCACAGCTCCTTCTTCTTCACGATCTTCTCGAGATCCCTCCTCTTCACTAAGCCGGCCACACAGAGCAGCGCTTCCCCAGAGGCCTGCAGAGCAACAAGCACTGGGAGATGGCACTGCGGCCCAGGGCAAAGGACCCGTGTCCCTGGAGCAAGGCCAGGAGGAGGCTGGAGCCCGTGAGGTGCCAGGGCAGGAGGCAGCCCAGACCCCTCCTGCGGGGACACCAGAGCCCACAAGTGCTCACCTCTGCCACTCTCTGGTTCTCATCATGGCAGTGGAAGAAGAGTGGAAGCAGGCTCTGGCGTACGTGTGGCTTCAGGGGCTTTTTTCCCTTTTTCTCGACCATTGTCATCACCCCACGGAAGAGGAGGATGGAGGACAGCTGCACACTGCTGTCAGCCTGGTGGAAATGGAAAGAACTCAGCACTGCCTTCTCCAGGCCCACCTGGGCACAGGCCTGAAAATCCACAAGGCACAAAGTTTCCTGCCAGCACCCATTGCCTGTGGCTGCGGGGCACAGAGCCTTACGTTGTCGAAGAGCGGCTGCAGCGCCTCAGCCAGCTGCAGGGCGGTGGGGCTGGAGAGCTGGATGTCTTTGTCGGAGAACAGAAAGCCGAGGACGCTGACAGTCCTCCTGAGCAGCTCTCCATCTGCGTCCCACAGGAGCTGCACGAGGCTTTCAGTCAGGCTGCACATTCTTTTGGCCTGTGAGGAACACAAGGCTGTGCTGTGAAGCCATGAAGGGCTGCAGCGCCAACCCCGCTCCGGCGGGGCAGCCCCACGTGCTGCCGCGGGGCCCAGAGGCCAAAGGCCTGTCCCGAGGGACTCGGGCAGCTGAGCGGGGAGGCAGCAGAGCTGGCAGCAGCTGTGCTCCCCAGCCCCAGCACTGCAGTACGGCTTCGGCCAACTGCCCCTTCCTCACCATCACGGCATCCTGGCTGAGCACCACCAGGCCTCTCAGCACTTGGCGGCGCATCTCCGGGCACTCGCTCCACAGGTGCCTTGAAAGGATCTGCAGGACGCTTTCGCCGCACTCCCTCACGTCCAGGTAGACCAGGGCCTGAAAGGCACGGAGCGGTGACGGGCTGCCCGGCTGGCAGCAGCCCGCACCCGCACGGGGCTGGGCCCAGGCAGCAGCACAGGGTGCGGCACCGTCCCAGGCAGCCCTGCCCAAAAGCAGCAGTGGCTCTGCAGAGCCCCTGGGCTCCCTGCTCTGCGCAGGCCACTTGCCCACTCCTCTGTGCCACCCAGCCCTCGGATTCCTTGGCCTTGAGGAGCCACGAGGGAAGTGCGAGTGCTGGCAGCAGAGGGACCCAAAACACAGCTGGGCACAAGTGTCACCCCGGCAGTAAGTAAGGGGCCAAGGGCGCACAGTGGAGCCCCCCCCCTCTGCCCCAGCTCCCTTCACTGGGCTTCCCCCGCAGATGCGGCTGCACAAGGCCAGAGAGGTGGAGGC